TTTTCTAGTTTGAGGAGGGTAGACTTAAATAAAATAATTAAATGAATTCTATAGAACCTTGAAAGCTTATTAGTGACATGAAGGAAAATACAGCAAAGAGGAATAGGAAATGCATAAGAGGGCAGGAGTACAATTGGAAATTTGGTGATGGGGTGAGACTTGAAGGAAAGAGCCACAAAGTATCTAACCAAATGGGACAATGTCCTAGCTAGAGGACATTAAGAAACCAGGGTTCTAGGACACAACAAGGAAGCCCAAACAACCAGAATAGAGTGGTTGAGGGAGAATGTGGTTCAGAAGGGAGGTCAGAAAGGGCATAGGTTCAGAATCTGTGGATTTAGTAGCCTTTGTAAGAATTTTGGCTCCTGATCTGAGATGGGAAGTCCTGGTGGAGTTTTAAGAGAATAGAAACATGACCTGATATGCATCTTAATAACAGTGGCCCAAGGTGGACGTGATGGTGGTACTGGGGAGGGTAGTGTGACATGTTGGATTCTACCTCTACTTTGGAGGTGGAGCCAACAGAATTTCCTGACAAGGGGTATGAAAGAAAGAAGAGCTAGCAATGACTCTGGGCTTTTTTTTTTTTTTTTTTTTTTTTTTTGGTCTAAGCTACTGGAAGATAAGATGGTCATAAACAAAGATGGAACAATAAATTGAGTGGAACTTTTTAGGAATAGATAAAAAATTAATTGTGGTTGTATTGAAATATCTTTTAGACTAACAAATGGAAATATCCAACAGGCAGTTAGTTATCTGTATATGTCTGAGGTTCAGAGGGAGGTCCCCAATAAATTTTTATTTGGGAACAGATAAGTAGTATTTAAAACCATGAGATTAAGATGAGTATAGATAGGGAAGAAATCCAAGGACTGCTTTGAAGCACTTCAATGTTAAGATGCCCTGGAGGGCTGGGGGTGTGTTCAATGGTAGAGTTCTTGCCTAGCCTGTGCAAAGCCCTGGGTTGATCCCCAGCACTGAAGAGTAAAAATGAAGAAAAAAAGAATGTTGTGTCCTTGAATTCAGATGAAGGGTTTCGAGAGGAATCGAATGGTCCAGTGTCTCAAGGACTGCTGATAAGTAAGGTGAGAACTAAGGATTCACTATGGAATTTAGCAACCTGGAGGTGAGACAAAATAATTTCAGAGATGAGGGGAAGGGCTCATGATTGCAATAGATTAAGAGAARGTGGAAGGAAAGGAATTGGAAAGAGTAAATATGGCTGATCTTGAGAAATTTGGCTGTAAAGAGGAAAGAGAAATGGGGAGGAAACCAGAGGAAAAAAGACTTCAGAATAGGTTTTCTGAAAGATGGGACTACAGACAATTCAGGGGAGAGGAAGAATTGCTGAAGAAATATCTTCAAGTAGGTAAGAAAGGTGGCATTTAGTGGAGAGGTTGGCCTCAGGATCATGGACAACTTATCATATTAAGGGAAAGGATCAGATTGTGGAGATGTGTTGATAGCAGGTAGATATGGGGTGGGCATCAGCAGAGGTCTGTTTTGTTGGTACCAGGGATTGACCCCAGGGGCACTTAACCACTGAGCCACATCTCCAGCCCTTTTTTACATATTTAGAGACAGGGTCTTGCTGAGTTGTTTCAGGCCTTGCTAATTTGCTGAGGCTGGCTTTGAACTCTTGATCCTTCTGCCTTGGCCTCCCAAGCTGCTGGGATTACAGGCATGTACCACTGAGCCCGGTTTAGCAAAGGTTTTCTGGTTGCTTCATTCTTCTCAGAGCAGCATCAAGTGAGGTCATTGGCTGAGAGTAAGGGTGAGAAAGAAACTCATAGGTTGGAGAAGTTATAAAACAAGTTATTCAGAAGAAGGTTAGAAGATGAGTAGACCAACATGGTAACATGTGAATTCTTGTCTCACTCAGACAGTATCTTCTTTCTGATTTTTTTAGTCTCTTTTATTTTTCTAATATCCAACATAGTGGTAGCAGGCAGATGCTCAATAAGTGTGCAAATTAATTTCACAAATGGAATCATTTATAACTAATTGTGCATTGCACTTAGTATTCTAAAACACCTCACCCATTTATTATACTCATTCTTAGTGGCTACCTGATTGGCATTTGGAACCACACTGAGATGAGATCCGCAAGAGAGTGAGAAGTAGGTATTGCTATCCTCAGGTGACAGGTGAAGAAACAGACTTTGTATTTGGCCTCACAACTTGCTCAAAGTTGGCCAGCCATCACGGGGTAGTGCAGAGATGTGAATCTCAGCCTGTGTGACCCTCAAGCCCAAGGTGTAACATGGCCCTGGCACTCATCTTGCCTACCTACTTTACCTTTACCATGGGAACTGTGGCCCAGATTGCTTTGCACATGTGTCAAAGCTGAGCCTAAAACCAAGACTTATCCAAGTACGGGGCCTTTTCCACTACCATCTTCCAATGTCCATCATATCTTGGGATCTGTCCATAGTTCAGTTCCCACCATCACTTGCTGACTACCCTTAACAGTAGTTGTAGTGTACAGTCCATAGCCATGAAGCACCTGGCTGGTCCTTTGGAGAAAGGATCTTGCCTGCACTGAGACAGTCATCCAGAAGGGGGCGGTCATATGCACAGAAATGCTCCTGCCCCACCCACGGGCTCTGTAACCCACAGGCTCTGCTTGTATCCCTCCTGTTTTCAGCCTTTTCCTGAAGCCAGCCTTTTCCTTTCAGCTTTTCCCTGCAGCGCCTGATTGCTCAAGCGAGCAGTATTTCTCCAAGAGTGATTTCCCCCAGGTGATATTTTGGGTTGTCATAAGTGGTGCTTAGAAACAAAGCATGCCCCTAAACATTCTATAATGCATAGGACAGCCACCCTCCCCCAACAAAAAAGTATTTGGTCCAAAATGTCAGTTGGTGCATTGAGAGGTTGAAAAATCCAGCCCTAAACAAAAACTTGTAAACAGTCTGTAAACTGACCCAGAGGAACAAATGGAAAATGACTTCAATATCAAACAAAGCAACTGATAAAAAAAAATAATTTGTGGGAGTTGTCCTTCTTTGGGGAATGTCAAAGATTTTGAGGGCTAAGTGGATCTTGACCTATCACTGACTGACTGTTGCTAGCAGTGCACTGAACCAGAATGTGTGTGAAGATGTGCTGTTGACCGCCTGGGGCAGCTGAGAGAAGAGATGGTGCCCTTTACCATCCAAGGACTATATACTGTCCTTGTGTCTCTCTGAGGAAATGATCCTTCCTGTTTTGTGGAAACATTCTCTGCCTCCAAACCTTCTGTGATGTTGAAAACCTGTTCTTGCAAAACCATAAGCTATGCTTGGAACTCAGCAGTGTGCTGGTCCCTGGCCCGAAGCACTTCAGAGAGTCCTGAGAGTGGTTGTCAAGGTCCGCCAGCCTGATCAGCATAAACTTGCATTCCAGTTGTGACATGCTACCCACCTCTCTGGAACTGGGAATTTTMTTCTGAAACATGCCCATTTTGGAAAGCCCAGGCATTTACCCAGGCCTTACCTGAAACAGATTGTCTCCAAGTCAAGAACCCAGTGTCCGATAAAATATTCTCTGTGAATCAAGCCACTCCACTATTTCTCACTATGTAACTCTTGTTCAGCAGAACACAGAGCAGAAGCAATGAAGACCAGTCCTAGGCCTTGGTCTCAGTTTTGTTCTATAGTACAACTATCTTCCTCTCTTTCCTTCATGCCTAGAACCTATTATGAGTGTCTAAAAACACATGAACTATAAACCTAAAGGCAGTTTATGACAGAAAATATGAAACCATCTTTAAATGATATCCAACCTACAGGTTTCATTGGAAACCAAAATAGTCACCCTCTTCCTTATAGTAGTTTATCTGACATGCAAAACGGGAGGATATCTAGGAATCAAATACAGCCACAAAACTGGGATTTGGATACCAGTGTCTACACAGCTAATTCAAGGGCTTTTTTTTTTTTTTTTTCTCCCAGTACTCGGGATTGAATCCAGTGGCACTTTGCCACTGAGCTATATCCAGAGCCCCTTTTTTATTATTATTTTGAAACCAGGTCTCACAAAGTTGCCCAGGCTGGCCTTTAACTTGCAATCCTCCCACCTTAGCCTCCTGTGTAGCTGAGGTTACAGGTATATGCCACAGTTCCTGGCTCAGGATCTGCTTCAGATAAGGGGAAAGAAAGCAGGGTATAGACATCTGAAAGGCAGAGCATTATTAGTGCTTTCTTGCTGGCTTCAGTTTAATAGACTACTGTGCTTCTGAAATTTAATTATTATCATCATTATTATTATCACTTATGGAGTGATAGTTCTGTGGACCAGACCCTACACCCAGCACTACCCAGGTAATCTGTCTCCATACCTAAAGTACTACCAGGAAATGGGTTCTCTAGCCAAGGATACTAAAACTTTAAGAAGTCAAAAAATGTGTCTCAGACTACCAGGAAAGGGTAAAGCTGAGATTTGAACCTTGGAAGGCAGATATTTTAAATGTGCTAAATGAGTTTGCTCTTGATGAAATCTGAACTGAATCTCTGACCAAAAAAAAAAAAAAAAAAAAAAAAAAGGTCCTTGTCTCTCTTATAAAGTCTTAATTTGGGTGAAGTTAGGACCCATAACATGGTCCTATGGCTTTGTGTGCTTTCATGTGCATAACACACTTGGTTTGCGTCTCAAAGTGAATGGTATGAAAACCATGGGATTTGAAGTCCAAGATGCCCTTCCACTGATCATAAGCAGTGAGACCACAGACATCACTTGACTCTCTCAAATCTTAGTTTTCATACCCTCAAAGTGCAGTGAGTTTTAGAGTATACGTCAAGTGTCTTGCAGATTGCCTACTGGTCAGTCACTGAAATTATTGTTGTTGATATTATTTAGATATGTTCTTTTTGGTTTTTGCTATGGAGATTTCAAATTATACTGGGTGTTTCAAACTTTTCTCTGGCATCTGTGTTTCACTGATTGCCAAAGACAAGAATGAAGAATCATCTTTACACTTAGGAAAACACTGGTGTAAAATATGTTTGTGTTTAAAACTTTAGGAACTGCCCAGGTCATCACAGATGGCCAAGTGGAATATCAGCCTCTTTCAGGCATTCGATATATGTGGTGGTACCATTTAATCGGCCTCATCTGGACTAGCGAATTCATCCTTGCATGCCAGCAAATGACGATAGCAGGGGCAGTGGTTACGTGGTATTTCAACAGGTAGGTCCAGCCTTGTCTCTTACTGGAGTGTCTTTGTGTTCCATGTTGTGTGTCTCAAAGATGTTTGGGAGTTTTGACCTGACTCTCTAAAAGGGGTTGACAAGAGTGAAAGACTAAGCTAAAAACTCAGCTCAGACTTAAAACTTTGGACTTAAAAAAGCTATAGGGGCTGGGGCCATAGCTCAGCTGGTAAGGTGTTTGCTTTGTATGCCAAGGCCCTGGGTTCAATCCCCAGCACCAAAAAAAAAAAAAGCTACTAGTCTCACCAAGTATGGTGGTACACACCTGTAATTCTAGCCACTCAAAAGGCTGAGGTGGGAAGATTTCAAGTTGAAAGCCAGTCTGGTCAACTTAGTGAGACCTTGTCTCAAAATAAAAATTTTTAAAAGTGTTGGGTTTTATCCCAAGCACTGCCAAAAAAAAAAAAAAAAAAAAAAGTTGCTAGTCTATTTTGCATACACTTCAATAATTCTGGGTTTTTTGTTTGTTTGTTTGTTTTGGGTTTGTTGTTATTGTTGTTGTTTTAGTGTAAAACTGGCAGAATGTTTACCTGGAAAATAATTTTAAATCCTAAAGGAATCATGTGTAACTATAAGCTATACCTCATGTCCATGTAGTTAAGTACTAGTGAGTGAATTACTTGCTTCTATGTTAAAATTATAGACATTACCTCACGAAAATAATGGAAGACACACACACACACACCCTACACACACCTGAACCCTTCACCTCTCTTGTGTGTGACTTTACCAGCAATGAGACTGCAGCYGGAAGAGCAGGCCTGGGACAATGACAGGGTTGGACTCCGAACAGGAAGTTTACTCCCGATAGGGCTGATCCTCCTCTAATCTCTCAGACCAAATGAGTAGATAAACATGACTTTTTCCTGAGGTAAGAAAGTCAACCAGGGGTGATTCATGCCATTGACAGTTACCTCCTGACAATAAAGAGCACTGTGGGTTTTTAATATAATGGTGCTGCTTAGGAGCCCCATCATTAGGGACTTGGGAGGACCCCCTGAGGGGCTGTTGCTCTTGGCATTAAGACTCCCCCCAACAGCTGGGGGGTGGAGGAGCTGCTTGCTCCTGAGTAGGAGAGCAAAGCTCATCCTAGCCAAACTGGCCAGTGGTAACAGTTGTCAGGCAGAGAGATCCTGTGTTATCTTAGAATAGCAAAACCAAAGCATTCTCCGCAGGGGCTTTGATGTGGAGCTCAGTGAGGCAGACACATTTATCTCAGAGTCATCCCCCCCTCGCCAACCCTCCCCCCAAAAAATAAAATCATGAAAGAATGAAAAAGGAGTAAACACACAACCACAGTGAGAAACAGAGACGCAAGGAAAGTGGATAAGAAACATGACATTAACAGAATGGCCAGGGCAGCAAGGGGTGACTGGCCATGTGGGGCAAAGCTGAAAAGGCCTCCGGCATGTGTTGGCTTTTGAGAAGGTGCAAATAAGATACAGGCTGAAGTGAGTCACAAAAAAAATCCAGAGAGGCTCAGGAATTTAAGTGCAAAATGTAACCCTGGAGGTTAGTTGTAAGTTCTCCTGAGGAGCAGTTAGAACCCAAAGTCCCTCCTCCAGATGCGCAGAAGAGACCTTTGCTTTCTGGACAGATCAACTAGAGAGGGTCTGGACTTGGGGTGTCTGGCACAGCCGAGGCTGGGGGCAAACTCAGTAAGGAAGCGGGGGCGGGGGGAGGGTAAGTGAGAGTCTAAATGCTGAAGAGGGAGAATTCCCCCATCACCAACACCCCACATTTTGTGGCTCAGTTCCCTGTGTGTTGGCAGCAAGGTTGATCCCCTAAGGGGAGGCTAGGGGAATCTTCTGGAAGAAACTTTTTTTTTTTTAAGGGAGAGGGTGAGAGGGAGAGGGAGGGGGAGAGAGAGAGAGAGAGAGAGAGAGAGAGAGAGAGAGAGAGAGAGAGAATTTTTTTAAAAAAATATTTATTTCTAGCCCAAGTACAGGCCCAAGATAATGCCACATGAGAGCCCCCGGGGGGTAAGATGGATTTCCTGACTCTTAACCACTGACCCTTGCCAGGCACCAGGCTGCACTCCTCACACGGTATCCAAGCCATTCTGAAATTGGAATTGTTAACCAGTGACTATTACACATTTGATGAAAACCACTAAAATAAGAGAGAAAGAAAAATGAACAAAACAAACAAAAGGGATTTAGAGAATTTAGCCTACACAGTGTCGGCTGCAAAAGAAAACAAACAAACAACAACAAGAAAGCCCTGTAATATTATCAGAAAGAACAGATATATTGCAACCATAAACAAAGCCCCTTCCCCACATCCTCCACCAAAAAGGAACAGTGAGATAGCGAGGAGGACCCTTTAATAATTAAAAATTGCAAAAGTGAAATTTTTCCATTGAATGATCGGAATATAATGTTGAAAAATTCTTTTAGAGGGCAGAATAAGACACAATTAGAAAATGGCAGAAAGGGGAAAAAAAAGTTGGAGTTATTTAGGAGAGTCACCATCTGACTAATAGGAGTTCTAGAAACAGAGAACAACAACAAATACAGAAGTAAATAAATAATCAAAGAAAATCTCCCAGAACTGGGCTGGGGCAGTAGCTCAGTGGTAGAGAGCCTGCCTCACACATGTGAGGTACTGGGTTTGATCCTCAGCACCACATAAAAAATAAATAAATAAAGATGTTGTGTCCATCTACAACTTAAAAAAAAAAATAATAATCCTAGGTCTAAAAACATAAGAAAATATCCCAGAATTTTCTCTCGGGGGAAAAATAAATAAAACATAACAAAAGATCAAGAACCAAAATGGGATCTGACCTTCAGTAGCAACTTTGAACCAGAAAAGCAAAAGAGCAAAGAAAAGACTATTTCCAAGTTTTATTTTATTTATTTCCTAGTTTTATTTATTTATTTCCAAGACTATTTCAGAGTTTTATACCTATTCCCACCATCAATTCAGAGTAAAGGAGAATAAAGTCAGGCTCATGAACACAAAATCCCCAAAGGTCTCCTCCCCACACCCTTTCTAGGAAGACGGTTCCCAACCGAAACTCATGAGTAAGCCAAGGAGGAAAACATGAGTTTCAGAAAAGAAGGGAAGGGAATTCCCTAGAAGGTAGTCATGTAGCCATTGTTGAAGAAGAAGAAGGAGGAGGAGGAGGAGGAAGGAGAGGAGGAGGAGGAAGAGGAGGAGGAGGAGGAGGAGGAGGAGGAGGAAGGGGGAAGAGGAGGAGGGGAGGAGAAAGAAGAGGAGGGGGAGGAGGGGGAGGGAGAAGAGGAGGAGGAAGAATGAGAGGAAGGAAAAGGAAAAGAAGAGAGGAAGAGAAAGAGGAAGAGGAGGAAGAAGAAGAGGAGGAGAAGGAAAGAGGAGGAGGAGCCAGTTCAAGATGGAACTGGAAGACAATGGGAGCAGTGGTACCAGGAGAACTCTCCAAAAAGACAATGTCTTTAAAAACACAGTGACACTTAGAGGAGACTAAATGTGCTTGGATATTTTGATGAAGCATTCAGTGAAATCCATGGAAAACAAAGGGAATAAAAAATGTGATGCCATTATTAACTCCAGGAAAAACTGAAAGTTATACAGGGAACAAAATAGAATTGGAATATGTTGCTTGGGTAAGTTGTGAATATTATTCACCATACATTTTACTTTTGTACTAATAGTGTGAACATGAAGCATTAACTAAAAATTTCAACATAACTCTATTGGGAAGAAGTTCAGGGTGAAACATGAGTGTGTCGGGTGCGGGCACCAAAAAGAGAAAAAGAAAAATGAAGAAATAGCGGTAAGAACACAGGATTTTAAAGTGTGGAGTTGTATTATGGTAGAAATAGCTAGATTATTATCTTTAGGGAAAGATTCCCTAAAGATTCCCAGTAAGCCCACCAGTATTATTTGGCTTTTTAAGATGCTTTGCCTATTATTTTCATAAAAATAAATTAATTTAAAATAAAATGTGGGATAATTTCTTTGTAACATTACTATTTCATTTATTAAGAACTTCTGCTTTCTTTTGGGCTGTCTGCCTAATTTTGAGACCTCAAACGTTTTGCTTATCTCAAAGTTCATAATGCCGTGTCTGCCCTGCACAGTGAGGATAAATACCACAAGAGTGCATTCACCTTTGTTACTCTTTTAAGCCCTGAAAGGTCTGAAGAGTTCATACAAAGACCACCAAGTACCAGGACATGGGCAAGCCCTAAAATTTACCTTGTACAATCATTTGCTTGAAAAGGGGTCAATAGAGACCCATAAAGATGCTACTTAAAGCCAGCACAGTGGTGCACACCTGTAATCTGTGCTACTGGAACCGTGAGACAAGAAGATGGCAAGTTCGAGGCCAGCGTTGGCAACTTAGAGAGACCCTGTCTCAAAATAAAAAAGTCTGGGGATGTAACTCAGCAGCATAGCAATTGCTTAGTATATGCCAGTCCCTGGATTCAACCCCCAATACTGAAAGAAAAAAAAAGAAAAAGAAAGAAAGAGAAGGAGAAGTACTGCCTAGAGATGTAGTTGGAAGAAGCTAGAATTGTTCAACTTGGAAAAGGGACATTGGAGGCATGACTTCATCATTATTTTTGAATACACAAGAGATGGTTTCCAGCTGCTCTGGATCTGCTGGTGAAAAGGTGAGGAAATGCACTCACAGCAGAGCATAAAGAATTGAGGTAGAGATGGGTGAATTTCTAACCCTAACAAGAATTGCCCAGGAAAGCTAGGGGAAAAAAAAATCTGTTCTTCATAATAAAGCCAGTTTCTATTTTCTGTAGGATTGGAAAGATTAACTCTATAGCCTCCCAGTCCCATCTTGCAGTGATTTTGCTGAAAGAGACATCAGGAAGGGACAGGGTCTTTGTGGAAGTCACACCGTTCAGCTTCACTCAGAAGCTGAGTGGGAGAGGCCAGTCATCTCTTGCAGCCCAGACTTTGTCCAGGAGACTTAGACAAACTTAATTTTCCATTACATTTAAAGAGTGTTTAGTGCACTGGGCTGGATCTAACTAGAACTAAAACTTGTTTCTAGGACCCTGAAGTTGCTTGATTGGTTTTAGGCTCTGTGTTGTCTGATGCGACGACAAGTTGAAAAATGGTACTTATATATCATGACCTGAAGGTGCTATAGGACTTGTGTGGGTGGGACCATTAAACCCTTTGCCCAGCAACGTGGACTAGTGTAGTGTTCTGAGGACCTGGCTCTGCTGTATGGGGCAGGAGACCTTCAGCATTCAGGCAGACACGGCTTTAAAAGGAGAAGGAAGCTGGACTTCATGGGAAACATCCTCGAGTCCCCTTACCCTCTAACACTGCCTGGGTCTTCCTTACTCTCACAAACTTGGGGGGATGAAGCCCAGTCAGAAGGTTCCCAGCACACGCCACCTGTACCCCCAACCCCTAGAGACAGCTGAGTGAGCCTGATGGGAGCCCTGGTCCAGCCTCCCCAGCCTCCTAAGGAACTCATCACTGAGTTACTAGTGTGCTCAACACTGCAATGTCAATCCTTGAAATACAGTGAAGTCCAGAGCTAAGCATTATTTTAAGCTTAATTCAATTCAATTCAATCAGGTTTTGCTGGTTGAAAGGGAGCTGACATACACCAGGGGAGGGATGACAGGATGCTGTAACTTGTTAATATAGAATAGAGTCTAAGGAGAGAAGGTGGTGGCCTCAAAGACACTCCTCTTAGACTTTTTTTTTTTTTTTTTTTTTTTTGGTAGTGTTGATTCTAGTTTTGAGGGAAGGTATTGAGTGACTCCTGGCACAGTGAATTGGCTTGGGTTAAAAGGACCTTCTTTTTAAGTTCCCTCTCTCATCATGTGATAACCCAGCTGCTGGAACCTCTGTATCTTCTTCCAGCCAAGCTCTGCAGAGCCTAGAGTCATAACCAGGGTATGTTATGGACTAGGGAAATAGAGGCAGTGCAGGCTCCCCTCTGTTTGAAATGGCTCATATCACTACAGTGAAATCTTCTCAAAAAGCTCGTATCCAAACCCAGACATCAATACCTGGAGGAGCAGACCCTAAGGGCCCCATTCACAGAGGCCTGTGAATCATTGGGTTCCCTCCCAGATGGGAAGTAGGTGTCCTTCTCTTCTCCCCAACCCCATCCTAATCTCTTCAGCACCATAATAAGTTCTAAGGCACATAAATTTCAATAGAAAAGTAAACATTCTTCCTTTTTAAAAAAATGAGAAAAGGGGAAAAAATGTGTCAGATTTTCCTGGCCTGTGCTACTCTGGTAGTTTGTCAGATCAGAATGAATTCCTCTCTGTGACAGCTTCCCTGGTCTTTCCATCTCCAACAAGGCTGGGTTGAAACACGGCACCCCTTTGTGGACAACTGGGTTACAGTTCTTCTGCGCCCAGTATTACTGTCATGTTCTCTTTTTCTTCCTGGGTGATTTAAGTAACAGAGAAATGCAATGGTTGCCAACTCTTGAAACATTTCTGGCTGCAGTCCTTTCCTCTCTCAAAACCCAGGCTGTTGTCAAAACCTTGATTCATAGTGACTTATTAGCAACCCGGGCAAGTTGTAGAATAATCTATTCTGAAGAAAGCCAGCTTCACTTGCAATCCATGGTGTTGCTTCTCAGAAAGGGCCTCGTTTTCTAGAGCTGGTGTCCATGGGAATTCAAAAGGTCTCCCCCAAGGTCGCCTCAGCCCTCCTTTGTTTTATCCCATCAGGTTCAGGGCAGAGGAAAAACTGTGCCCATTCTGTTCTTTTTTTACTCTTTTTCTCTGCCTGTGAAACTGACTTGGACACATTCTTGGGAGCTGTGTCAGGACAAGTCCTGTAAATGATTCACACTAAAGTGACCTTTAAAGAGTAGGGAGGAAATCAGCTGGATTTCAGGAGCCCAGAGCTGTGCAGAAGCCAAGCACCCAGGAGCTCTGTGTCCCTTCCCTTTAAACTTGAACTCACCGTTAACCTCACTGGCCCTGGTCCTGGTCATGTGATTTGGCCATGATTTTAATCATCAAGCTGATGCTGGCCGTATTTTACATATGCGCCTGTGTAATTGAAACCTTGGAGATTGTGATAGAATCAAACTTCTGAAAACGAGATGAACGGGCTACTTGAAGGGTTGGTGGAAGGAGTAGGAGCTGTAAAGACTTAACTTAAAGCCGTTAACTCATCACCATTTTCAAAATAGTTTTTTTTTTCTTTCTGTTCTGTATTTGTTTGTTGCATTGAATGCCACTGAAAGGAATCGCATTAGTCCAGAATATAATGAATGTCACCTTAGCAACCAAGGAGTATAAAAATTTTGCTGAATGCTTATTGCATCATTGCTTTGAAAGTTGTTAGTGCCATTGATGATTTGAACAGAGAAGGGTTTTTTGGGTTCCTTTTTAACAATGGTTTTAAAAATACTCTTTTTTCTTTTTTCCTATTCCCAGAAATAAAAATGACCCTCCTGACCATCCAATCCTTTCATCTCTCTCCATTCTTTTCTGGTACCATCAGGGAACAGTGGTGAAAGGGTCTTTTTTAATTACTGTGATGAGGATTCCAAGAATCATTCTCATGTGCATTTATGACACCCTGAAAACGAAGGTAAGGCTGCACCTAATAGAGAAGAGCTGAGGACTGGCGGCTGCAGAGGGTCCCAGGACAGGACCCCTGACAGTGGCCTTTCAGACTCCTCCCCACCCAGACCTTGTTCCCAGCCTCTGCTGTGCCGTGTGGTCTTGTGTGTTGGGTGGAGAGGGTGGGCAGGGAGAAGTTCTGGTTAGCTGGCTTTCCTTCTTATTTAAATGCTGAAATAAAAGGACTGAATTCTGAAGGTGAAATTTAAGCAAGGTTTTGTGGCTATTTATCATGCTTTTTTTTTTAAGTAAGAGAATAATTTATAAGATAGTAATAACATGTCTTTCAGTTTTGTTTGTTTGTTTGCACCAGGGATTGAACCCAGGGGCACTTAACCACTGAGTCACATCCCCAGCCTTTGTTTATATTTTGTTTAGAGACAGGATCTTGCTGAGCCGCTTAGGGCTTCCTAAATGGCTGAGGCTGGGTTTGAACTCTCCATCCTTCTGCCTCAGCCTCCTGATCTTTCAGTTTTAATGCTCAAATATTCCTCGCCTGTTTTGTTTCTAAGAGGGTGTCCTAGGAACTTCCTGGTATGCATGAGGAAGAAATGAGGGGGGACAAGGGAGTTAGAATGAGTGTGTGTGAGAGACAGAATGTGTGTACACAACTGTGTGCAAGGGTATGTGAGTGTGTTGGTATGTGTGTGAGAGTATATGTATGAACACACACACACACACATACACACACACACACACACACACTTGAAAGTGAGAAATGGGCAAGCTGACCTACATCTCAGCTCAAAGGACAGAAAACTGTAGGGCTTTTGTGCTGGGGTCTCCTCCCTGGTTTTTATTTCCATGCACATTTGGGTATGAATGCCAGTGGAAACCAGAACACCAGGAAAACAGCTGTTCTCATGGTATTTCTGTCCTGCCAAACAAGGGAAGATTGGACTTCCCCCAACTTTTTGGTTCTCACACAATGCTAATCTCTCCCCACCCCCACCTCAGGGTTCCTGATTTGGCCAGAGTTTCACAAACCTGCCTGATCCCCACCCTTTGTGTATAGTTATGTGTCCTTAGTATATTGGGGGTAGTTTTACACATGGGGTCATATGATACTTTAGAATTATTTTTGTTTTGGTCTTTTAAACAGAAATCTGAGTTGTTGATACTTTTCAATCCATAATCAAGATTTAAGGTTAGTCTATCACTTAGGAGCAATGGATTCAATTTCACATAAAATTGTCTGGCTTCCTTAATCTTGAGATGCATGCTAAGCAGCTGCCCACTGATTATATTTTCTTCTATTTCCATGAAAATCTTGCCTGGTGACTTAAAGAGCCATTTCCTTATCCAGGACAAATCTATCCTGGCTCCTGAATTTTGAAATTGTTCCTTCAATCTTAGGAAATTTGGAAAAGGATTTCTTGAGGGACAGAACAGCTTTTTATTTTAACTATATTGTATTTCTATGTATATTTACATAGAAATGTGTATTTATATCTTTTGTGAATACATATATTTACTTATATATACATTAATAGAAAATCAAACAAGACATCCTAAACTCTCTGGGGAAGCCACTTTCTATAAATCTAAAAGAGAAGTCAGTAGAAGACCCACGGTCTGTCTCACCAAGGTCTGAAAAGTTTTTATCATTCCTCAGATCCCATAAGGATCAAGGATCAAACTCCCTTTTAATGAAGTCGCTGTTGGGGAAAGATGTCCTTTCTCGGTTAAAAAAAAGAAGAAAAGTGAAAAAGCAGTCGTTTTACAGCCCAGTACAGTCTGCAGTTCAAACATTTCACACAGCTACCGGTGATCTTTTCTACTTAAAGAGCCTCATTCACAACCGCTGCCAGGCCCAAAAGTATCCAGATCAAGTTTCATCCAATTGAATTAACACTGGGACAAGAAAATGTCCATATAAGGCTGAGTTATTCCTGGGGTCTTCATAGTAGGCTATTTCAGGATTGTGAGCAGGGATTGTTTTACTCTGGGCCAGGGGTTGGTCACCCCTCCCCCAGGCAGCTCATTCAATTATTCACCCTTGAGTTATGCACAAATTCAAGTTGTAGTTCGAAAGACTGATTTATACATTGAAATTTAGTCCCCAAAGTCTCAGGATAGGATTCATTTTCCCTAAGGTTAAGCTTGATTCTTTCTTTATGTGGACCCACTACTAGAATCTGCAAATGTGCTGTTTGCTTGCTTGCTTGCATTTCTTTTCTTTTTATTTATCTATTTATTTCTTTTTCTGTCTCTGGGATGTGAAATTTTCAAGAACATAAACTTTGGGTTCAAAAGGCAAAGTGCACCATTTGAGACACTTAGGGGCAGATGGAGAGGGAGGAGAGAATTTTTTTTACTAGAACCAAAAGGCTCCCTTTTCCCTTGCTATTGGATATGGACTAACCATTTCCCTTTCTGTTGAGGTTGATAAATCCAGGAGAGAATCTGAGTTCTTCCCATTAATAGTAATCAGAAGTATGCACAAAACAGAACTTCTCCCATCTTCAGTGAGGACTGCTCTGGCTTTTCCCTGGGTACAGAAGTCCATGGGGGAAGCAAGCATACCTCTCCAAAGCTGCCTGCTTACCTTCTATCTTTTGTTTTCCATTTCTCCTGTGGTCTGGACTGATCCCAGCAGCACGGCAAATGGTCAAGGGGCACATTCAGATGCTGCTACTGCTGTTTCTTGTGTCTTGACAGATACCTGCGCCATGTCAACCAGGTACGTGCCCTATCCTATACCCCAGGAAAAAACAGAGGGCTTGGAAGTGAGTCTCCATCATTTAGGTCAGGGATTGGCAAATTGTTCCATAAAAGACCAGATTGTGGGCCGAGTGTGGTGGCCCACGCCTGTAATCCCAATGGCTTCAGTGGCTGAGACAGGAGAATTGTAAGTTCAAAGCCAGCCTCAGCAACAGTGAGGCGCTAAGCAACTCAGTGAGACCCTGTCTCTAATAAAAATACAAAATTGGGCTGGGGATGTGGCTCAGTGGTTGAGTGCCCCTGAGTTCAATCCCCAGGTAACAAAAAGAAAAAGACCAGATTGTGTAAATATTGTAGACTTTGGGGCCATATAGCCTCTGTGGAAACCACTTAACTCTGCCAGTGCAGCGGGAGAAGCCATTAACAAAGGTTGAATGAACGAGTATGGCTGTGTTCCAAAGAAACTTTTTTGGTGGATGCTGAAATTTGAATTTCATGTGACTTTCACATGTCAAGAGAGCTTCTATTTTTCCATCTATTTTTTTTCCAACCATTTTAAAATTGTAAGAATCTTTGTTAATTCCAGCCAGAGGAAAGCAGGTAGTATGATAGACTGGCCACCGAGTTGTAGTTTGTAGACCCCTGCCATGGAACTTTAGGCATAAAAGGCATTCTTCAGATTCTAAAAGAAATGTGTTTCTGTTTTCTAAAATAAAAAGGAAAAGGAAGTCTTTAGAACCCCAGCCTAGTGAATACATATCAACTAAGAGCTAATGTTCAGGGTCTTCTTTAAGAACTATAATTTTCCTGAGCTAGGAAAAGAATTGCCTCCCTAATTTTTATATATTTTGCCAGGCTTTCCCTTTCAAGCTATAAATATTCCTTTAAAATCATAAAAATGATATCCTGCAATTGTTTGAACTTTAAATTATTTTCTCTCCTGAATCTTCCAAATTGGTGGAAATTTAAATATATGTTTTGTTTTCCTGTAGATCGTTTAGGGAAGTTTAATGGCCCTTGTCAAATTTACACAAAGCGGTATTTTTGTAAGAGAGCAGGCTGCTTTAAAATTTAAATGTTCATGCAAATCTCACTTCGAAATTATAATAATAGTACTTCTTATTATTACCCATCTTCTTAATAAGTGTACCCTTAGAAGTAAAGGGGCTAATTAGACCATCCATGTTTATGTCTTAAGTAGTGTTTAAAATATCTTTCATTATTCAGGGAAAGTGTAGACTTCAGTACTATAATAGAACTTACGAGGAAGCTCTATTTTTAAGGCTTTTCTTAAGAATCTTGGAGTACCCTTTAGAGTGTGTTTAGTTTTCATTTGCATTGCCACAAGCCAGCACATATAAAGCACAATAAAATCCCATATCACCTTTGGAAATAGTGGATCCAGAAGCAAGTCAAGCCAAACCTCGGGAATACACTTGTCATGGGGTAAGATGCCACGCCTCTCTTCCCAGAGCTGTGTGTGTGGGTCTGGACACCAACTTACTCCATGAAGATTTTTGAGATGCATTTCAAAAATATATTAACAATGGCATGATTTTTTTTTTTTTTGCACAAAAAGTCAAGACTAAGAAACATATAGGGAGACTAGAAAGAAAAAAAACTATGACTATAAACACAAATATGTTGGCCATACGGTCCTCCTGGGCTCCAAGCTAGAGTTGCCATTCCTCTTTACCGCTTTATGAAATTCAGGTTCTTTCTGCCTCCCTCATTCAATCCTGGTTTCCAGCCTGCTCCAGAAAAGCCTAAAGGTAGATGTTGCTGACATTGAGAGGTCAAGAGGGCAGAGAAGCAGGTGAGGAGGAGGAAAGGTGGCCTAGCTCCATGCCACCCACCCTGCCTGGCCTTTCAGCCAGAGAGTTCCACTCATGTGGGTGAGGTGGGCCGTCTCCTGAAGCTTTCCTTTGAAGGTAGGATTCTGCCACTAAATATATTTGAGAACCACTCTCTCAGACCAGCATTACGTTTGTTCCCTCTTCCCTGTTATCCTGAGGGACATGTTTTCTGCTTTCTGAAATTTCACCTCTTTATAGGAACTCAGGACCTTTTCCCTTGGGGGTTCAGGGTGTTTATATTAAATCGTGTTGATATTAACCCCACTCTGATTACCATGGTAGAGGGGGTGAAACCTTGTCACAGACATAGGGTGAGAGTGATCTCGAATCACAGAAAGGCTAAGCTGGTCTTGAGCCGGCTCCTGTAGTGAATCGGTGGTGCAAGCAGGGGTAGGTCTTTGGGATTCCAATCACGGTGGCTGAGCACCAGGCTGTGACCTACACCAGCTGTCGCCGTATCCTTACATGGGGGTGACGTGGTACAACTGACATGAACACTTCAAGGGCTCCCGAGGTTTAGGAGATTGAGGAAGAAGAAGAGGAAGAATGAAAAAGACAAAAGAACTGATGAGAATGTTGGCAGGGGTGGGGGTGGGGGTCTCCTCTGATCTAAAACGACCACCAGAAAGCAGAATGAAATAAAAATGTTTAAGGAGAAATATGGCAAGAGTGAAATGGTGACCAGAGCTATTCGTAGGTCTCATCTGGAAACAGACAAAGCAAAGTGAGCTGAGAGAGAAAAAAGGAGTTCAGATGAGGCTTGTAAGAAATGTCCCGGTGTTGGAATGAGTGGCTAAGGGAGGCTTTGGCATCTGTGTCTGGAAGTCAGATTTTGAAGGGCCGAGGGCCTACTTTATTTTCTTTGTTTTATGGAAGGGAAGCTGGGAAAAGAAAGCTACAAAGGGGTGAGATGCATTTGTCACCCTTGGCACCCAGATGTTCTTCTCTCTGTAACATCAAGGAGCTGGCTGTGCTCACCAATGCTTTTGAAAAGCCTCATCCATCTTCACTGTGCCCTGTGAGGGGAACAGGTGACAATTGTCACATTTTGTAGACACCCAGCCTAAGATGGCACCGCAATTCACTTGCAGAGTGCGGAATAAAACCTCAAACTTCATCATTTCTGATCTACTTCTCTCTGCATCATAAATACTAAACGTGTATAAATTTTTTAAATTGTGTCGCCTCCTGTGTTCATTTCTGTAACAACCACTGGCTTATTTACACTGGATGTGACCAGCTGAACCTGGCATTGTAAGTGGGGGTGACGAGGATTCAGAGTCAGTATCAAGCATAAGCTTGGCCTTCATGTAGTTGATAGGCTATTTGGCGGAGAGAGGGGTGCAGTAGGGAGTATATGCATGAGACACTTATGTAAGTGGTACAAAAAAGTGCAGGATAAGTGCTGGAATGAGGGCTGCAGAAGTTTAGAAAAGGAGAATCTTGGTAGTTAAAGGTCTTTTAATGCAATAATTAGGGTAATTCATAGAAGAGATTGGACCTCAGTGGAGCACTCAACAGAGATCAGCAGCTCATAAATTCCAATGATAGCTGTGGAAAGTTGGTGCTTGCTATACTGCCAGTTGTAGCCTAAGCCCTTTTCCTACATTATATGGATAGCATCTCCGGTTCACAGATAAGGAAACTGAGGCTTAGAGAAAGCACACGGTGACAGAACTAGAAGTTGAATCCAAGCCTGTTTTGCATCCAGGATCAAACTCTTAACCCTAAAGTGTTTTTTCACCAGCCAGAGGATCCCGGACCACCATCCAGGGCTGTTCTCTGCAGCCAGCACCTTTCCAAGCTAGGACCAGACAAGCTAGGTTGCTGACAGAGCAAGTCTTGTTAGTGGCTGACTGATGGAGGACCGGAAAGGCGTAGGGCTGTCAAGGGCAGTGAACTCTGAATCATGCAATTGTAGAGGAGGAAAGCCATGTCAGGTGGGGCGACCCCACCTCCACTCCTCAGGAAAGCCAGTGGTCCAAGCCTCTAGCAGTGTGGGCTAACTCATTTCAGAGACTTACAGGCAAGGAGCCCCTGTGTAGCCTCTCTGATCCCTCCCAGCACTTTGGTGGGTCCTGTCTGAGAAGTCCCCTGTGGGACTGTGCAGGCTAACCACTCAGCAAGAAGAGCATGCCTCTTAGTGTTTCATAAGTGCCCACCTGCAATTCCTTGTGGCAGTTCCTCCCCAAGTACACACAGGCATCTGTGCATTAGTGTTCCTGCACTCTGCACAGCACTCTTCCCAACGGTTCCAAACTCATCTGAGCACTTCAGGAAAGCTCTTTCTCAATTTTTATAGGCAAATAGCAGAATTCTGTAGATTTTCATGTTTTTCTATTTACCAATAAGTAAACTAAAGAGTGTGTTTTTTTTAACTTCTTGAAATAAGTTTGATAAACTTGTTTGATAAACTCAAATGGGTGTTTCATGAGAACTCATATTCATTATTCTGTTAAGATATAACACTGCTGCCGAGGTGAGGCCTCCCTGCGAAGTTTGTGAATGTGCATGGGCAGAGAATTGGGATTTTGCAAATTGGGGGTAGAACACCTTGCTACAACCAGTGTTACCTTGAGTTGGCTGTGTTGTTTGATCGCAGTCATTCCTGGCGTAATGAACATTACACTTCCATCGATTACTTGGTTCTTATTTATTCATTGTATTTTTGTCACCTTAAGCTTTGCCTTCCTTTTTGATCCTTTTTTCCTTCTTCCAGAAGAAGTGGGAATAGGTAGGAAGTGAGCTGTGGGTTGATGTCAAAAATATTTGAGATATCTAGGTGTAGTGGCACATGCCTGTAATCCCACCCGCTCAGGAGGTTGAGGCAGGAGGATCCCAAGTTCTAGGCCAGCCTTAGCAATTAGAGAGGCCCATAGCAAGTTAGTAAGACCCTCTCTGAAAATAAAAAATAAAAAGGACTGGAGATGGACGTGAAACCCTGGGTTCAATCCCCAGTTTAAAAAAAAAAAAGTTTAAGAACCACCATTTCTATCCAGTCTCCTGGGAGATGCCCCCAGAGGAAGATGACCCCTTAGTCAAGTGTAGCAGCAGTTTGCCTCTCTGCCTCTTCCTTTGTGTAACTTAGGTGAGTCACTCAACTCCTGCAAATTGACAGGGTAGAATCAAATAATTCCTAATGCCTTTTTGCAGCTTTCTGCCC